AGTACACTTTACTGTCATTATCTGTGCTTTGCTACTTAACAGCACTGAGGCCTCGGACAAAATACTTTGGCTCTCATTTTCTGTTTCCTCCTCTCCGCGTGGTATAACTGTACTGCCTTAATACTGTTGTTGTCAGGATTCCATGAGGAAGTGTTCTGAAAGGACTTAACTGGCCACTTGTTAGAAGCCAAGCTGTCAGTGGGTCCTGAGTGAGGGGTATCAGCATGGCTCTTAGGGGCAAATTAGTTCTCTTAGTTCTCTGTAGTGCCAAGAATGTGACGGTGCCAGACAAGTTCCAAATATACAAGCTGTGATGACAAATAACTCATTTAAGGTGATCCTGCCAAGTTGGAGTACGAACAAAAGTGAAAAATTGGTGAGGATTGAAGGCGAGCAAGGAGATAATTTAGGAAATGAATGCTTTTCATTGAAAAAGCCAGGATATTTGAATGTTAGGAGCACTGAACACTGTAATGGTTACTCACTTCAAATGGTTGAAGTCACTGAGTACACAGAGAGTTTAGGAATCAAATTATGGTTCTCATGGTCTCCTAAGTATCCTTTAGACAATATATCCCAATCCCATTGCCCTGCGTGTGTGCTTCTTATCTCTGCATGCCATTTATGAAACGGGTAGTTTCCTACGAAAGCGATCAATTCAGGTAGCAATGTCTATGTGCCTGCTGTTTGTAAGGCTCAGTGTTAGGCACTGGGGATCAAATATGATCACATGGCACCTGTTCTCAAAAAGCATCTAGCTGGGGAAGTAAGAAATACTAAGCAGGATAGCTAACCGTTTAAAGTAATAGGAAGTGCTAAATGACTGGCTTAGAGTCATGTGTCTTTCCTAAGTAGGAAGTATGGAAAGGCTTTGTTGGAGAACAGAAGTTGCCAGTAAGGGGTAGGAAAGGGCAAGAGGGGCAGAGGACTCTCAGCATCAGGAGAAGTTCGTGCACTGAATGAAAGCAGAAGAGCCCGGGTGCCATGGGACACTTACTGGACTGAGGCTGGTGTGGGGCAGTGTGTCTCAGGACCCCTTCACACTCCTAAAATTGCAGGACTCCACAGAGCTTCTGTTTATGTGAGTTTGGCTATCAATATTGACCATATTCAAAATTAAACCACAGAAAACTTTTAAACATTTATTAATTCATTAAAAAATAAACCTATGACGTGTCAACAGAAATAACATATTTTTATGAAAATAGCCATATTTTCCAAAACAAAAACAAATTTAGTGAGATGAGTGGCATTGCTTTATATTCTTGCAAACCTCTGCAATGTCTGGCTTAGTAGTAGACAGCTGGGTCCCTGCCTGTTTTTGCCTTCAGTCTCTTGCCACTTGTTGCTCTGATTGAAGTGTAGGAAAATGTGGTTGGGAGCAGAGGAGTATCTTAATAGCCTTTTCAGATAGTGGACATTTTCTACGATATTGTACCAAAACGTAACAAATGGGTACTTTCCTTCTTTCTTTCCTTCTTTTTTTTTTTTTTACTTTGAAATAAAAATCAAAGTGCAACATATCAAAATTTATAGGATACAGGGCTCATGTGGTGCTTAAGAGGAAAATTTATATCTGTAAATACCTTTATTAGAAATAAGAAAAACCTCAAATCAGTAGTGTAAACTTCTACCTTAAGAAAACAGAAAATAAGAGCAAACTAAACCAAAAGCAAATATAAGTAGGAAATAACAAAGATTACAACAGAAATACATGAAATAGGGAATCAAAAAAAAAAAATAGAGAAAATCAACGAGATCAAAAATTGATTCCTTAAAAATGTCAACAAAATTTGCAAACCTTTATCTAGATCGACCAAGAAAAAAGAAAGAAGACCAAAATTACTAAAATCAGAAATAAAGCTGGGGCATTATTACATTGGCATTATGGTTTTTTGTATTGGTAAGATTTAGTTTTTTTTCTCTTTCTCTTTTGCATTTTTGTTCTACCAGTTAGTTTTGTTCTTTTTTGAGTATTCATGGTAGTGTTTATTGGTTTTCAGATTCGAGATGCAGGACTTCCTTGAAGATTTCTTGTAGGGCTGGTTGTGTGGTAGTGAGCTCCCACAGTTTTTGTTTGTCTGGAAAATACACTATTTTTCCCTCATTTCTGAAGGATAGTTTTGTTGGGTATAGTATTCTTGGCTGGCAGTTTTTTCCTTTTAGTTAAATATATCATCCCATTTTCTTCTGGCCTGTGGAGTTTCTGTTGAGAAGTCTGCTGTTAGCCTGATAGGGGCTCCCTTATAGGTGACTTAATGCTTTTCTCTTGCTTCTGTTAAGATTTTTCTCTTTGTCTTTGAGATTTGCCAGTTTGACTATAATGTGACTTGGAGAGGACCATTTTGGGTTGAATCTGTTTGGGGATCTTTGAACCTCCTGGATCTGAAGGTCCATGTCTCTCCCTATACCTGGGGAGTTTTCTGTTATTACTTCATTGAATAGGTTCCATGCCTTTTCCTTTCTCCTCCCCTTCCAGAACACCCATGATTTGAAAGTTTATGCACTTAAGGTTGTCTGCTAGCTCTTACATTTTCTTCAATTATTTTTCCTTTTTTTTTTTTTTTGTCCACCTGGGTTATTTCAAAGAGACTGTCTTCAAGACCAGAAATTCATTCTTCTGCTTGTTCTGGCCTGCTGCTTAAGCTCTCGGTTGTGTTTTTTTTTATTTCGTTGAGTGAGTCTTTTAGTTTGATGAGTTCTGCTACATTCTTTTTTAAGGTATTAATCTCTTTGTAAATTTCCTCCTTCATATCCTGAATTTTTTTTTTCTCATTTCTTAATGTTGTCTAACTGAGTCTTCTCATATCTCAGTGAGTTCCTTAATATTGTTGCTTGGAGATCCTTTTCAGTCATTTTAAAGGTTTTCTCCTCTATGTGGTCTGTTATTTGAGAATTACTGTAGGTTTCCTGCTCTGTAGGGTCTGGTGTTTGGGAACTACTGTATTCTTTTGGTGGTGTCATATTTTCTTGGTTTTTCATATTTCTGGTATCTCTATGTTGATGTCTGGTCAGCTGGTAGAGCAGTTGCTTCTTCTACCACTCCGGGGTGGGCTTTGAAGAGAGAGACTTTCTCTTCTTTTTCCAGTCTCTGCTGGTGTCAGTGCAGTTGAGTGTCTGGCAACTGCCTGCACAGTTGCTGTGGCTACTGCTGTGGCATCAACCCACTTTTGTAGTGGCTGTGGCGGGCCACCCATGTGAAAGTGGTGTTTTCAGTGTGCTGTCTTGCTTGCTTCCAGGCAGAGGGTGCTGGTGCCCTCAGCTCCTGCCCAGGCCACCGGGTGTTGCTGTCTTGCCTGCTTCAGGGTGGAGGGGGCTGCTGCCCTCAGGTCCTGCTTAGGAGCCCAGGCATTGCTTAGGTAGTTTTTTTAAGGAATCTGAAACCATATCAATGAGCTGTCTACATTTTATTCCATTAAAATCTGAGGGTTGGGCTGGCCCCGTGGCTCACACGGGAGAGTGCAGCGCTGGTAGCGCCGAGGCCGCGGGTTAGGATCCTATATAGGGATGGCCAGTGCACTCACTGGCTGAGCTTGGTGCAGACAACACCGTGCCAAGGGTTGCGATCCCCTTACTGGTCAGAAAAAAAAAAAAAAGAAAGAAAGAAATTCAAGGGTTTACCTTGCACTTTGAGTGGCTCTTTTGTCCTTGAATGATATTATAACATCATTTTTTAATCATTTGGAAAATTCTGGCCCACTGAGTTATACAAATCTTCTAAGGCATTTTGGAAATCTTTGACACATTTTAGTATTATGTATATTAATGAATCACATTTGTTAATATCACCACTGATCTCATCTTCAGCCCAGGGAAGCTGTGAAGCTCACACTGGCAGATAGCAGTTTTCCAAACTTTCCAAAATACTGGACAGTCATACAGAGCTTTGTTTGAATTCAGCTTAATCACTTGCCAGCCCTACAGTGATCCTCTAAATTTGTTTCTTTATCTCTATTGTGTTATTGTGGAGATTAAATTTTTAGTAACTTTATACAAATCATATTGAAACTTTTTAGGATGATATCTGGCCCAGGTAAGCACTAACTAAATAATAGGTATTGTTACTATTATTGCTGTCTTCTTAACATCATCAGTTATCAAGTGTTGTATGTGTTGACTGTAGACCAGAATGAGGAAGGAAATGTGCTTTGTGCAGTGCTAAGGTGGTGACTCTTATTGAATGTTTGTGACAGTTGGTTTTGACAGTCTTTGGACTGATGCCTGTCGCTCTATGTTTGTGCCTGTCCCCTGTTGTAAGCATAGAGTCAGTAGACAGACATAAGGAAGACCCTTCCCTTCTTTTTACCTTGCCTGTACCTACCCTGTGCAGTTGTCACATGGTGTAAATGTATCTATACCTCTTACCCAGACTTGGGGCCTTACTTACTGTTTGCTTCTTGTTCCATTGCCCAGAACAGTGCCTGGCATGTGATCATCGATGCTCAGACAGTATTTGTTGAGTGATTGAATTTAGAGAGAACTTATTTTGGACAGTACTCTCAACATGGTTTGAAAGAATTAGGAAGCATAAAACTTTATCACACTTAATGTATGATCTGAGCAGTGACTAGTTTTGTTTTGTTTTGTTTCCATTTTCTTTAAGGAATATTTAACCTCTGTTTACCCCTACCACATCTGTTTTTTTTTTTCTTGGATCTTCATTAATTCAAAATAAAAATAGGAGGGGCCGGCCCGGTGGCGCACTGCTATAGTGTGCCGCTTGGGAAGCGCGGTGGCGCTCCCGCCGAGGGTTCGGATCCCACATACAGACCGGCCGCTCACTGGCTGAGCGAGGGGTGGGAGCAACACCAAGGGTTGCGATCCCGTGGCCGGTCCCGGTCCGGTACGGGCACGACACTGAGGGTTGCGATCCGTTGCCGGTCACGAAAAAAGACAAAAAGGAAAAAAAAAATAAAAATAGGAGAAAGCTTGGAAGTGTTTTGCAGTAACATTGGGTTAAGCATTTTTGTGATCAATATACTTTGCTTTCTGCTTTTCAGATGTTCCTCCTGCTGATCAAGAGAAGCTTTTTATCCAGAAGTTACGTCAGTGTTGTGTCCTCTTTGACTTTGTTTCCGATCCACTAAGTGACCTAAAGTGGAAGGAAGTAAAACGAGCTGCTTTAAGTGAAATGGTAGAATATATCACCCATAATCGGAATGTGATCACAGAGCCTATTTACCCAGAAGTAGTCCATATGGTAAGTGATTACAGCTTAACCGGCATGTCCCAACCCTGAGTTACAAACAGGACTCTGATATGCTTAGAACAACTTGAGACATCTGAGCCTAACACAACATTACCCAGGAAAAACATCCATGTGTTCCAAGATTTGTACTTGTATCTTGAAGAATGAAAATGTTCTTTGTAAGGTATCCTGGATTGCAGTGATAACTAGAGTGAGGGAAATCAGTTGCCTTCTAGGGACCAGTCAAAGTGCTTTACATTGATTAACTCATTTAATCCTCACATCTACCCTATGGGGTAGAAATGTTAGAACTTTTATTTGTATTAATTATTTTATCCACTTTGTTTCTTCTTTTTTTTTTTTAAACATATATGTCATTAATATAATAGTGCCTTACATAGTTTAGAAGTTAAAGTGTTGTCCATACATGTGCAGGAGAATTCTAGTGATGGGGTGGAGTTAAAATATTGATGGGACCAAGCTGGTGTCAGAATAGTCAATGCAGGTTGTCTGAGAAGGCCTTCACCTGTCAGCGCTGATGTCATGAAAATAAGTCCTGATTGGCTGAGGCAGTCTGTCATCCTATGGTTAGTTAATCATTGTTTTTATTCAGCCCCCAAATCTCAGTCCTGTATAGTCTCATACTTTGCAGACTGTTCCCAGGTCATTCGTAGCTATTCTTACTGTATCCCAGTGTGACGTCAGTGAGTACCACCTGGAAGCATTTCATGCGATGCTGTCACCACAGCTCTTACTGTATGACATTGAGCTCCAATTTTCTGTTGAGTGTTTTTGAATTGTTGACATTTTATCTGCCTTTGAAATTAGTAACCCCCAGTAATTGGGGAGTCTTTGTTGCTTAATATGAAATTTTAAATACTGGTTTTCATTGAACTCTTACTTATGTTACTGATTTTTTTTTTTTTTTTGCAAAGCTATGTATTTCAGAATTGACTAGACTTGTTGACCTAAAATGCTTTCATTTCTTACTTTAGTATGTTTGCTTTGGGAAAAGATGAAAAGTAGTGTAATTTCTTGTAGTTCAGTACACAAAAGTTTGAGATTGACTTGATTATTTTAATTTACTGTTGTTAACTCTTTTTTTTTTTTTTTTTTGAGACCGGCCGCACTGCGAGCGCACCGGCCATCCCTATATAGGATCCGAACCCGCGGTGGGAGCGCTGCTGCACTCCCAGCACCACACTCTCCCGAGTGCGCCACGGGCTCGGCCCGTGTTGTTAACTCTTGAAGTTCAGAATTTATGGGCGTGGATACTGTGCAGGCAGCCTAAGGTCTGCGGGGCTGTGAGGGCTCTTGTCCCCAGACTCATGCCTGGAGAGCAGTGACGGGCATGTACCGAGAGGAGAGTAAATGCCCTAAAACCTGTCCCCTCCAGATTAAGGAAACTTGAGCAAATACCTTTTTTCCTTAATTTCATCTCTTAGGCACTTTGGAAGGCTGCCCCAACCCAGAACCATAAAGAAAAATGTCTGATATTTTCTCCTAAAACTGTCATAATATTGTTCTTCTCATTGCATTTTATAATCTTCTTGGAACTTTTTTTTTATGGCATGGGTTAGGGATATAATTTCATTTTCTTCTAAATTGACTTTCTTCTAAAATTATTGAAAAATCATGTGTCTCAACATTATATATTAAATATTCATTTCCTCCCCATTGATTTAAATGCTTCTTTATTATGTATTATATGTATTTTCTTTTTAAATTAAATTTATTTCTTAATATATACTAAGTTTACGTGTATGGAAGGTTTTTGTGTTTTTAAGGAGTCGTGGCTGCCAGCAGTCCCTGATTCCCACTCTTTAACCCGAGAGGGAAGAGTCTGCAAAGCATGACGGGACCTCAGTTGGCCCGACTTAGGTCAAATGCCCACCCTCGAACCAGGCGTGTTCCCTACTGCGTGACTCTGTCTCTCGTTTGTATTTTGCAAGTAGCGCTGTGCATTACTGGACCACTTAGGGGACTTAAAGCCCTGGAGACCGTTTTGTAAGATTAAATAATAATCACTTCTCGTCCCCCTGCGACAGTTGTTTCCTGACTAGATGCTCCTCCTGCTCTCTGAACTTTGGTCCCCAGCCCTGAGCACCGGGAGCAGTCAGAGTCTTCAGAGTGCTGTGCAGTTTGCTCTCAGAAGCATTGAACAGACACTTACTGAGCATCCGCGAGGACCAGGCAGCTTTTTCAGGAGGAGATAGAGCAGTGAACAAGCTTTCTGCCCTCCCAAAGCTTTCATTTTCATGTGGGACACAAGCATAAAATAAGCCGACCAATAACATATCTTTTTTTTTTTTTTTTTTTAAATAAAAGATGACCGGTAAGGGGATCTTAACCCTTGACTTGGTGTTGTCAGCACCACGCTCACCAGTGAGCTAACCGGCCACCCCTATATAGGGATCCGAACCCGGGGCCTTGGTGTTATCAGCACCACACTCTCCCGAGTGAGCCACGGGCCGGCCCTCAATAACATATCATTTTAGATTATGGTAATACTATGAAGAAAAATAATCCAGGGTAAGTAGACAGAGTTACAAGACTGGGAATATGACTTCTGCCCTTTGCCCACATGGGCAGGAAAAAGGTGCAGAGACAAAACTCCATGTGATAAAAATCAGACCATCTCTACGTGATGAATTAGACAGTCCCATGAAGATATGTGCACAAGATGCTTTTCTGTGGTCACTGCGAGAGCAGGGGACAGTTCATTTTCTTTCCTTTCTGCTCTGATTTGAGATAAGTTCAGAAGAGAATATAGCCTTCCCTTATCCCCTGTTTGTCTGGAGCTTTAGGGGTAAAAGAGGGGCAGGGACAGATTGTTGTTCTTGTGTTTTATGGACAGGGCACTGATGAAAGGTACAATGAAAGAAGAGTGTGTGGTGGGGGTGGTACTTGGCCGAGGCTTGTCACCTCTCAGAAGTAGAGCGTGGGTGTGGAATTCAGGCAACCAGCAGAAGGCCTCCATCCCAGGCAGTGCCTGCACCCAGTGGGGCAGGTAGGAAAGATCTGGGGCTCTTCGTGGTTCCATTCTGATGAGAAGCTTCGCAGCCCAAAGCCCCCTGGTATGCCCACCACTTAGGCATCACACCTGAAGTGTTGCCTGTTGTTTTCTTTGTTTCTTGTTGGTATGTATGTGTATGTTTTGGTCACAGCATTTTTGGAAACATTAAGAATCCAAAGCTCTATAGATGTATTCCTGATGCTGCTACTTTTAAATATATTGCCTCTTAGACAGGACTGCTATGTGGTTTTTTTAACAGATTTATTGAGATATTATCCATGTACCTTACAATTCACCCACTTAAAATGGATAATTCAGTGCTTTTTAATATGAATATAAGATTGTGCAACTGTCATCACATCTAATTTTAGAATATTTTCATCCCCCCCCGAAAGAAATCCCACCCATGTTAATAGTTCCTGCCATTTCTCCGACTCCCTTACCCACCCTGAGCCTTAAGCAACCACTGATCTGCTTTCTTTCTGTAGGTTTGCCTATTCTGAACGTTTCATGTAAATGAATTCCTACAGTAAGTGTTTTTTTGTGACTGGCTTTTTTCACTTAGCATAATGGTTTCAAGGTTTATTCATGCTGTGGCATGTATCAGTATTTATTTTTATTGCCAAATAATAGTTCATTATACAGATATGCCACACTTTATTTATTTATCTGTTGATGGCCATTTGGGTCATGTCCATTTTTTGGCTGTTATGAGTAATGCTGCTATGAACATTCATGTACAAGCTTTTGTGTGAACATATGTTTTCATTTCTCTTGGGTAGGAGTGGAGTTTCTGGGCTACATGTTAACTCAGTGTGTTCAGCTTTCTGAAGAACTGTGAGGCTATTTTCAAAGTGGCTGCACCAGTTTACATTTCTATCAGCAGTACACAGGGGCTCCCGCATCTCCCTGTCTTCAGCACTTGTTACCTGCCTTGTTGTTATAGCTCTGCTGCTGGTTATGAAGTGGTATCTTGTGGTTTTGATTTGCATTTCCCTGACAACTAACGATGCTGAGCATCTTTGCACGTGTGCTGTGTATTTTTACACATCACAGACTTTAGACCTAGAATTTAACAGAACCTTACAGATCATCTAGCCTGACCCTTTTCTCTTCTGGATAAAAAAGCCCAGGTTCAGAGAGATGAGGGTGAAGAGGAGCAACACCCAGGGGAAGAAACTTTTGGCATTCAGTTTCTCAGGCCTAAATTACATAAACTTTGTTATGTCTTAATTTCAGTCATATTTTGAATATAACCAGCCATCTGTTTTTTCAATTAAGTTATCTAGTTAATCTGTTTCTTGGGTATGGACATTTTTCCAATAGTCAAAATAGTCAAAACCAAGTAACAGCTTTTAAGAAATTGAAAGTAGTAAAACTACTTTGTTAACAATATTTAAGGAGATAAGTTTTGGGGTCAGACCTTTTCAAAAAAGGGCAATATACCAAATTTTATATATGATTCCAGAGGGTTCGAGTCCCCTAGAGCCTACAGTAGACCACAAATTAAGCACTGTGGAGTCTCTTTTCTTATCTTCTGAATCAGGGTTCTCCTCCAGATCAGTGAATCACAGGTTCCTTGTCCCTGGGGCCCTTTCAAGGGCTCTGGGAAGTCAAAAATATTTCCATAATAATACTAAGACTTATTTGACATTTTCACTGTATTGACATTTGCACTGGTGGTGCAAAAGCCACAGTGGGTATAACTTCTGGCACCTTACCAAGAGCAAGGCAGTGGCTCCAAACTGACCTGGTGTATTCGCAACCACAAACCCACGGTAAAAAAAAAACAAAAAAGGCCAGTTTCACTTAATAGTCTAGATGAAGCGGTAGAAGGTATTAATTTTATTACCTCATGACCTTTGTGCACACATCCTTTTAATGCTCTGGGTGATGAAATGTGACGCTTGCATAAAGCACTTTGGCTGCACGCAGACGCAGTGGTCGGGGGAAAGGGCACTTGCATGATCTAGTTGCACCGCACTTGCCGCTTTTC